ATCCTGGATACGTGCTTGAAACATACGGGCATATGGCCCAGAACGCCATCTCTTGAGCGTTGTATACATTTCACTGTAACCAATATGCATTGTTATGGTCGAAATGCAACAGTATTGTATTCTGTGGTTATATCACAGATTAAATGAATTAATTAATTATTATTAATTTCATTTAATCTGTGGTTATATCGTATTGTGTTCATGCACTATTCGTGACGAAATATAAAGGTATGTCAGCAACAATAAGTATTTGAGTTTGGTTTGCGCATCCCCACTGTTTCCTATGTGTTAAGCTCTTCGATTTTCATGCTTTTATATGTGCAACCAATGAAACACGGAGAATGTAACATACAAAAAAAAGGGGGGATATGCGTATCACAATTTTGCTGACTTACCTATATACTTTGTCTTGAGACTATATAGTATATTGCAGTATTGCACAATGTACTGTGATTAAGTGTGATAAACTGATAACATCGTTGAGACTAAACGCTAAAAGGCTAGTTTTAGCAACAAGCCTTTAGCAATAAACGTTGTTGTCACTTGTGAGTAAAATAGATGACCGGAAGAGTCTTTGGATCGAATTCTGTTGTAGTTATCGAAAACTAGGCTATTTAAATTATTTAATAATTTTTATAATTTCTCATCGTTCCGTTCTTGATGTATTAATGCTGTGGTTTGTTCAAAATTGAATCATCTCAGGTAAACATGCAGCTACTAACTTGTAAAAGAATTGTACTTCATCATAATCCATAACCCTGGTCTGTTTCRACWYATTAACGTGATAACTAAAAATCTTTACATTTTCAGTTTACGTGGCTAAAAGATTATTGAACGACAATTCAGTAACTCTTTAAAATAACCTCCTTCAACCCCAACGTTAAATACAGAAGATTCATAGCAATATATAGTGTCATAGCCGTCATATCAAACTGCTCGGTAAGTACAGAATATATTATACTGCTTTTATGTGTTAAACGGGAAAAAATACTAAACAATTATTTTTTGGAAAAATATATTGCAAAGTTGTTGATGTAACCTATTACATGTTAATAAGGAAAGGAGTGCTGAACAAAATATGTGTAGTGGATAATAGCAGCCATAAAATAGAGGTTTCAATATTATATTAATTGATAATCATCAAAAATACGTTCAATGATCAATTCTGGTGTAGGTAATTGCCATCTATATTAATCATCTCGTTAGTCGACAGTATTGCATTCCAYTTKTTAAAAATTTGAAATTAATAGGTACTCTATCTAAAAAATAAGTAAATATTGAAATATATAAAAAATAAGAATTCATTCAGATTTTACTTAACATTTTTTATGATCTGAAACATTTTAATCGTTAGACCTATTTATTTATTCAGAGCAGTGGTGCCAAATCTATACAGTAGGGGTGGCGGTCGCCATCCCTTTTGAATGGGTGGGTGGTAGGKCMTGTTATGCAAATGARTAAATATTTTACAYGAYTGCTGTCTGATGATAACGTTGAGGTATAGCCTCATAGGTTTGGTTTAATTTAACGGTTCTGGGTGGGTGGGTACTTGGTAATTTTTTACTAGTTGGCCCCCTATTTTAAACTGATCCTATTTCTAACTGATTCAGAGACATATTATAATTTATACTTTTTAGGTRCCTATTATTACATATTATTTAAAATATGGCAACATGCAACCCTAATCTTTAAGCGGTAATGATTAACTGATAACCACTTTAAACTACATAATATTATTATTGTATAATATGATTATAAATTAAATTAAATATCTATAAACATTTAGTAAATTCAGTTTTTAGATAAGTTTATTTTAGTAACTAGCTAAACTCAAGAGTGTTACATA